GCTTCCCGACGACCAGCTGAGCCAGCAGTGGGGCGGGGACACTTGGTTTAAGGAGCCCGATCCTGTCAGGTTAGCTCTTAGCGACTTGTCCCCTCCAGGTTCAAGGAATGGGCCTCTAGGGGGCGGTTGGTTAGTGTAGTTTTTGTTTGCCTTTTGGTGATTCTGCCTTTCTTGAGAGCAAGCCAGTCCTCATGACAGCTCCCTCACTTTTATTGACTACACAAGGGTCACCTTTGCCCCTACCCCTTTTTTGCCCTTTTAAATAGTAGGTTTCTCTAATTGGAAGAAGGCACCAATTCTTAGAATCTTGCTAAAGGTACAATTCAGCGTCCCTTACCTTTCCTCCAGGAGTGTGATTTCACACGTATTGAGCAGCTAAGGTATGGAAGGCATGTGCTATGATGGTGAAGGGGGAAAAAATCCAGCCTCCTCAGAATAAGAGTCTCTGTAGAACTGGCTAAGGTGGAAGAAGAGGTCCCTTTATTATTGTTCAGGTGGTAAGTGCTGAAGAAGCTTTGCATGAATGACAGAGAATCTCTTGGAGGTGGACACCTGTTTCTTCTTGACCAGAGACTAGGAGCATCAGCCCAGCCCATTCTCCTTATCCCTGGCAACTGTTCTTGTCAAATTGGTATTTTCTCTGGACATCTGTTAAGAACCTTGAGTGGTAAGTGGTACACCTAACCAGGAGGTACACTGTTGTTTTATGTTAACTTTTACCTCAAGCAAAATATAGGTCTTGTAGTTGTTAAAGCAAGTTTACTATATTTATATAGACAGTGTTGAGAATTCAAATTCTTTCATGCATCAGTAGTGGCAGTAAAAAACAAAAAGAGAAACTATTTCAAAATAGTGAAGTTATTAGAAAAGAAAGTTTGTTAATTTGCGTTTATTTATTGGTTCCTGTAATTGGAGAAGGCACCAATCCTTAGAATCATATTAAAGGTACAATTAAGCATCTGTTACCTTTCCTCCAAGAATATGATTTAATAAATATTGAGCAGGTAAGTATGGAAGGCATGTGCTATGTTAAAGGGGGAAAAATTTCTGCCAACTACAGTAATTTCTTTTCACTTTCTGGTACTAACTTCATCTGTCATCCCATTCTTACTCATCCTACCCCAGTGGTTTTCAGTCATGGCTACCCATCAGAATTAAAGTGGAACTTTAAAAAATAATAATAATGCAGGGAACCTCACCGCAGATATACATTGAATCAAAATCTCCTAGAGTCAGTCCTGGCATGTCATGTTTTTCTTTCTTGTTTTATTCTTTACAGATGATTTAGATGCATAATTTGTTTTGAAAAAATAATGGCCTTCTTCCCAAGCCATTCAAATAAAGGCTGTTCCTTGGATAGGCTACATGACTTCATCTTTACACTTGCTGTTTGTTCTACTTAGGACATCCTTCTTTTTGTATGCCTGTTTAACTGACTGCTCCTTATTCAGTCTTCAAGCTCAAACATAGCCTTCCTTGAATTCCCATCCTAGATGCAGAATTGTTTCTTTAGCATTTTGTTCACATACCAGAAACTCTCTTTGATGCAGTCCAGACCTCTATCCAAACAATAAATTGAAAAAGTTGGTTAAACATTGAGTTGTATAATGTATTTGGATGAACTTTATGTTATATAAATTATATCTAAGCAAAGCTTTTTTTAAAATAGAAAAGAGCAGTTAAGTCAGAAAATCGTGAAAAGAGTGTAACAGTATAAACTTTTATTTTTTACCTAAAACAGCTGTCTGCTCATTTGCCAATCTATTCAGAAAGCCCAGGGCCTTTTCTTTGCACATGGTCTACTGATTGGATTTCTATATTTTATCTCTTGCATAAATCATACAGCTAACCCACTAGTAAGATTTCCCAGATTTTGTTCCTTTAAGAGGAGAATAAAGGCACTTGAGAAGCAATCTGAGTGCAATTTTAATCTTTATAATCTTTATAGTTATCTCACACAGCTTTGTTGGATCTTTCTAAAATATTAAACATAGTTTTTAAAGAAATGACAAACTTTATATCCATGCTATTTTATTTATGTGTATGTTATAAAAGCACAGTATCCAATACAAGTGGCATAAACAGATTGGAAATAAACACAAGCAACTCATAGGACCCTGCATCTGGTAGTGCAAAAATGGGCAGCCTCATTGGAGTGAACCTTGCTAGCCATGAGCATTTAGCCTGATATGGGAATTAGCCACGAAATTTACAAAAGAAATAGGGTTAATTGCTTAGAGGTCAAAAGTAGATAGGCTAGGAGAGCATCTACTCTGCCCTCCATTTTAATTATTTGACTATATGTGTTCTTCCTCATAGAGATTTAGAACATTTATTCTGAAGACAGATTGGGCCTGTTTTTTCAAGGGGAACTGCTGGGGAAATCCCCAGACTTACCCTAACATGTAAATTTTATGAAAACAAATGGGATTTTAAAAAATCATTAGCATTGTTTTTAAGGCATTTCCACTACAGTTTATGGATCTTTAATGAAAAGGTAATATAACAGATAAAGTTTTCCTTCTTAAAAGCTTAAACTAGTTTCCCGGGGGCTGCCATACCAAATTACCACAAACTAGATGGTTTACAATAACAAAAATTTGTTCCCTCACAGTTATGGAGGCCAGGTTATAAAATAGAAGTGTTGACAGGACTTTGTACCCTTTGAAGCTTTCCTTGCCTCTTCCAGTGGGTGGCTCCAGACACACCTAGCCTGGTGACTATGTGACTTGGGTGTCTGTGCCTCCATCTTCACTTGGTCTTTCTGTGTATCTGAAAATCTCAACACTCTCTGTCTACCTTTCTCTTATAAAGAGAGCTTGAAAATAAATGGAAGAGCAATCAAATGAGAACAAGCAAAGGCTATTTGTTCAGAGGTTGCAAGGAAGTGCTACCATCTGCATTTTAGCTGAGTCAGAGGCAGGAAGTGGAGTGAGTATGACTTGATTGGAGGTATAGACATAGGGAAGCTACAGGCAGGCTGGTTAGGAGTGAGGCATCCAATGATGATTGATCAGGAGTGTATATTTGGTGTTCTCTGGTTGGTCCCAAGTTGGAAGCAGAGATAAGAATTAGGGAAAATATCATCATTAATCAGGAGTGACTATTTGGGGGCACTTGTTATATTTGGTTTCCTGGGTTATTAGTAGAGATAGTGTTCTGACTTCAGATATTTGTCTGATTTATAAATAACAAATTGGCTTCCTGGACTGCTAACTGTAGATAGTGAGTCGGTTTCCTGGGTAGGTTGTTGCAAATCGTTTCTCAAGAGTTCTGATTTTTTTTTTTAAGTGGTCTGGCCATTGTATGGTTACATATTCATTCTTATACCTTTCATTGAATTTAGAGACCACACAAAATCCCTTAACCAAATGACATCTGTAAAGATCCCTTCTTCTTCTTCTTCTTTCCCCACATAGGGTCATATTCATGGGTTTTCAGTAGTAAGACATGGATGGATGTATTTTGGGAGCCACCATTCAACCCACCAAAAACTCTTCTTGGTTTAGAAATGATGCCTGCTTGTTCAGAGTTATAAAATAGAACAAAACAAAAACCTTGTCCCTTAGTGTCCTAAATAGACAGACAGGTAGGTTATGACTAGATTTCTCCAAAGACCTATGATTTCTATCTCAAAGGCAGGGACACTTTGCAGTGGTTGCCTGGGCATTCTTTAAAGCTTCAATTAGAGTTTCAGACCAACTCCTTTATGTCTACACTCCCAAATGAGATGTTTTGGTAGGCACTAACAAAACATGTCTACATATTCAGAGAAACCCCACCTTTGGTATGAAGCTTAATGCAATATGGATAACATGAATACTGCCTGCATTATCTTAGAGAGTTAAGGAACAAAACAAACCTTTTCTGTTTCTTTCTGTTTTCAATTTTGTGAAATTTTAATTTTAGTGCCTGGTCAGAAAATGGAAAAATCACTGGGATATAATAGGTATATAATACAAATTTCATGATTTGATTTATTAATTCCTTTTGTACGAAGGCTGGCTATGTTCTAACTTCTAAAAATGTGGTTGAAAATCCTGGGCTGGGGCTGTTCCTCAGTGGAAGAGCACTTGCCTAGCACATGTGAATCACTGGGTTTGATCCACAGCACCACATAAAAATATATAAAATAAACATATTGTAAAAAATTTTTTATTTAAAAGTTTTTATCAATAGTTTTTATTTATATATGACAGCAAAATGCATTACAATTCTTATTACACATGTAGAACCCAATTTTTCATGTCTGTGGTTGTATACAAAGTATATTCAAATCAATTCATGTCTTCACATATGTACTTTGATTAATAAAGTCCACCACATTCCACCATCACTTCCAACCCCATACCCCTTCCCTTCTCCTCCCACCCCTCTGCCCTAACTAAAGTTCATCTATTCCTCCCATGCTCCCCCTCCCTATCCTATTATGAATCAGCCATCTTATATCAGAGAAAACACTTGGCTTTTGCTTTTTTGGGATTGGCTAACTTCACTTAGCATTATCTTCCCCAACTCCATCCATTTATCTGCAAATGCCATGATTTTATTCTCTTTCATTGTTGAGTAATATTCCATTGTGTGTGTATGCCACAGTTTTTTAATCCATTCATCTATTGAAGGACATCTAGATTGGTTCCACAGTTTAGCTATTGTGAATGTGCTGCTATAAACATTGATGTGGCTGTGTCCCTGTTATATGCTGTTTATAAGTCCTTTGGATATACACCTAGGAGAGGGATAGCTAGGTCAAATGGTGGTTCCATTCCCAATTTTCCAAGCAATCTCCACACCGCTTTCCATATTGGCTGCTCCAATTTGCAGCCCCACCAGCAATGTACAAGTGTACCTTTA